TAATATATAATTTGAGTATTAGATAAAAAATTAATAAAAATTGATATAATTCTAATTAAAATATGATTTTGGATATGTATGTAATTTTTATAGTTTTGGATGGATATAGGTGTAATTTCAAAGTTTGCAAGGATACTGAAGTAATATTTTGAGTTTGCAAGGATATATACGAAAATTTCCCTTTAATGTATGTTATACATGCCAATCCAGAGGCGGAGGGAATAGGGGGGTTGTCGTGTGCTTGGCTACCCTCAAGCACTTTTCTATTTGCAACAATACTATAGATAAAATGAGTTATTGTGTTAACTTTGACCATGTTGAATATTTAATAATACTTGAGACCCTTTCAATTACTTTAAAAAAACAATGAGTCAATGAAAGTGATATAAGAATTATCTGAAATAGAATCTCACGTTTCATTTTAATTCTTCAAAACTACCGCCTCATCATATCTATTTTATTTTAATTAAATATTTTGATTAATGCCCTATTTATATCAATCCTTCAGTGGCTATATTATCCACATTTATTGATATCTATATTACCCCTATTTATTTATAAACATTGTTCGTTAATTGACTCCTATCAAGAGGTCATGCGTAGTTATCTTTATTCATCGAGGAGGTTAGTTTTCGATTAACAAATTATTTTTAGCTAGACTGCTACATCGATATAATTTCAATTCTCGAATTAAGAAGGTAAATTTTATTTCTTATGGCATACTATTTTTAATGTTACTTGTAATTGATAATTTTATTATAGCATGATAGTTTGGTTAATTATAATTAGAGGGTAAATTACAAACAAAAAAAACCACCGATTCATTTTTCAAGTAAATAGATGGTACTTGTGAATTTTTCTTTAAAATTTTTGACTTATTACTTTATTTGGGTATAACATTATATTTTAATAAATTATTGCAATGTGAGGCTTTCAGTCCCCTGTATTCTTGAATCCTGGCTCTGCCCTTGGGCCAATCCAAACATATATTGGACCCGGGCGAGAAGAGAAGAAGGGCGCTCAAAGTCAAATATAATAAAGATTTGAAAAAAAACATCAATAAAAAAAACTAATAATTTCATCAATAACACAAATATAACCATAATATTTACAAAAAAATAACATATTTAAGGGATAATACTTTTTCTAATTTTTTTATATGCAAAATCATTGATAATACTATCAATTTATCTAACATATCTTTCTTTATACATAATATTGTCAAACAATTCAATATTTCTTATGCATTTATCTTTAATAACTTTAGTTTTGAAAAAAAAATATCTATTCAAATGCAAAAGTAACATGCATGGTTAATAAGATGTTATATGCTATAAAAACATTTGGATAAAAAATCACTTTCATTAAGAAAAAAGCAATCAGAAAAAAAGATAATTTCATGCCACATCGCATACATTGTTATTTCAAAAAGTAGCAACAAATTTATGAAACATTTTATTATTATCCATAGTTGTCAAACTCGTACGAGTCACGAGTCGACTCATTTTATACCCAAAACGATGCGAGTCGTGGCATGACTCGGTTTTAGGTATGACTCAGTCAAAATTTATGGGACCTTGTCTGATTCGTTCTGAGTCGAGTCAACTCGTGACTCGGACGAGTATTGCATCTCATGGATAATCACATGATCCGATAGGTAAACAAATTATCTAGCAGTTAATAACGATTTTTTTTCTTGACTACTAGTCAAAGAACTATTAACAACACGGGGGAGAAGACCAAGAATGCAGGAGTATGCAGGAGTGTGGATTAGAGCTGCTACTAGAAAAAAAAAAACTAAGAGTGTAGAGCTTAAGATCTACAAATTTGAACCCATGAACAAATGAACTTATAGAAAGAGAAAGTTAGGAGAGAGTGCGTCAAGAGTGAAGACGTGCAGAAAAGATGATATAACCCTAAATACATTTTTCTTTATATATCAACACATATGCTAAATTTGTACTCTAGCTTTCACGACATGTTAATATTAACCCCTACTCTACTTTTTTTAACACTCTAGCACACTAAATATAATAGATGTTCATTAATTTTCAAAGAGTATTATGTTTTATATATTTATATATATATTTTTGTAAATATCATGACTCTTACGAGTCGAGTCTCGAGCCGAGTCATGAGTCAAAATTTTATATTTTCAAGTCACAAGTTAATAGCTATGTTATTATCCATAAGTATAGACTATTTCAAGAAATTAGTACACCTGATTTGTATCATAGTGGAAGCCTATTATGAAAGTAAGCTAGAAAATAAAATCAATAACAAAAGTGATACAAAATGATCGATAAAATAAAAGCAAAAAAAATTTGATAACCTAAAATTCTAATTGATATATAGTATCTTATCAAATCAGAAATCTAATATTTGAAGCTGAAACTTTGAAAGAAACAAATCAAAAACAAACAACATAATATTGTAGAATATTTGGAACAAATTAGAAAATATTTTACCTTGATCAACTTTAGAGATTTGATGCATAAACAAAAATCAGAAACAAAGATTATAATCTTCCAGAAAATGAAATCTAATATACAAAGTTAGATTGATAAGAAAAAATCATATTCTAAAAGTATAAAATAAAAAATCGATATACAAATCTATAAGCTTTCAGACACAAAAATCATACCTTAAAGTTATGTAGATAAGTCCTAACGATTATGGAATCAAAATAAATTCAAAAGTAGATGGTGTGGTCAAGAATCAAGATTGAGAGGTAGAAGACGAATGGCGGATTGTGAGAAAGTTTGAGAGAAACTAGCGTGAGGAGTAGAGTCTGCGAAAAACTAGAGTGGGAAGCACAAAGAAGTAAATTGTGAGTGTAAGAGAGAAGAGTAGATGACGATTCAAGCAAGAGAGAATGACAATTCCAGAAGCGATAGTTGAATACATTTGTGATTTCTGATGTCACGGAGAAGGCGACATCATGACATCGACGATGCACGAGTTCCCACCTGATGTATATGAAGATTCAGTTACCATTATCGATGATGTCAATTCTATTCACAAGGCTTTTTAATTCCTCCTTTGGAGCTTCAATCATTCTTGACCATTCCAGATGCGCACTCATCGCGCTCATCTGTCATCGAACATGTAATTGAACATGCCAATTTCTTTATTTTTTGGATAATTTGAGTTTGGGCTAAATTGGGAATCGGGAAATTGGGCCCCCAAGAAATGTATACATAATTGTTTATATGTATACAATATATAGACCATAAATTTTGGTCCACTTAGAGACGTGGGCCATCGGCGGTCCACCCTAATGTTGTATTTCGCAAATGAATATTATTTTACATTAACAAATACTTTTGTATAAATATATTGGATTTTCTAACATGTACCATAAGATATGTATAAGAAATATTAACTATAAAGAATATTATTATAATTAAATATAAAATACATTAATTATACAGAATATTCTTCATAATTAACACATTTTACATTTTTCAATAAGTAATATTCTTTATAATTAATACATTGTGCATTTAATTATGGTAATATTTCTTATAATTAATATTTCTTATATGTGCCCTTAAAATATATTTGATAAGATATATAAAATAAAAAACAACATAAACATATAATATTTTTTATTTTTTAAAATGCTGCAATAAATATTTTTATTTGTCTCAATCAATTCATCTTAAATACAGTACAAATTACATAAATTGTCCCCATAATTTGTTCTAATCTATAGATATCATCCTTATAAAAAGTTTTTTATTCAGAGGATCCCTAAGATTGATTTTATTGCAACTGTAGTACCGGATCACATTAAAATGATTATTTATCCTTAATGATATTTTTAAATTATTATTAAAACAATTAAGTCCAAAACCCACTCCATTCCTCTTCCTTCCCTAACTTATATCTCGGAGAAAGCCAGCATGAAACCCCCCACAACGTCAGTAAATTACACGAATGGTCCCTATGGTTTGGGGTAATTTACACGTTTGGTCCCTAACTTATTTTTTTAACTCGGAAGGTCCCTACTATTTGTTTTTATTACATGTTTGGTCCCTACTTTGTGTTTTTTTTATTTGCTTGGTCCCTGTCTTACCTAAAAATATTATTATTTAAATAGGAAAAAGTAGTGGGGTAGGTAAGGTAAGGTGAGGGGGTGGGATTGTGGGTGTGTTTATCTAAATAAATTAAAAAACCAAGGGAAAAATAGTCTTTTTAACTAAGATAGGGACCAAACGCGTAACAAAAACAAACAGTAGGGACCTTCCGAGTTAAAAAAATAAGTTAGGGACCAAACGCGCAAATTACCCTAAACCATAGGGACCATTCGTGTAATTTACTCTATTATTTTATTCCTTACAAAAATGCTAGAAAAACCATAAAAATATATATTTCCATGGAGAAAGTGACTTAGCCCATCGATGCATCAACTTTATCTACAATTTTACAATAATCAAATTCTCTTTATAACCAATAACACACAAAACATGGTAAGCATTAGGTTTCACCTAATAATATACATACATACATACATACATATATATATATAGACACACACACACATACTCCATAGATCATAAATAATAGCCAAATATTACAAAGATCAACTTCACACAACATGGAAAACATTATGTTGCATATGCTATAGGATCTTAATCGCCATAAAAAATAAACCATGTTGTTCACCAATGCACTTTTAGAAGTCATCAGAGCACATGTCAAAGTCCAAGAACCCTAACAGTTAAAGTTAACGGGTCTTAAATATCGACTTAACAAAAATTAACTTAGGAACTGTTTGAGTGAAAAAATAGCTATGGATGAAAGTCAAATATAATGCTAAACCACAAGGATAATTTGTGTAATTTACAATCTTACATTACTAGAAGTTAATGCATCTTTAATATTAGCATGGTGCAGGACATCCTCTCATGAGATAGATTGAGAACCCAACTTTCTATAAAAACCCAACTATTACAATTTATAAAATTATGTTTCTTTTAAACTTGTCGTACACAATGCGTAGCCTCTTGATTTGTCTCATCCTAACATTTTCCTTCCCTTCCATCACAAATTCTTGCTTCTTTACTCCACGATGGGAGATGTATATTATTAATGGTACTCCTGATAATGTTATTATGCATGTTAGATCAAAAGATGATGATCTCGGTAAGCATAATGTCACTTCAAATGGTTATTATCATTGGTCATTTTGTGATAGACTTGATAGCACCACAACATTTGATGCTGAGTTTTGGTGGGGTAAATCATATGATTGCTTGGAAGCTTTTTCTAAACTTGCGCGAAGAACGTGCGATAGGTTTGGAGGGATTGGATATCGTGTTGTTTATTGTTATTGGCTATTAAGATCCGATGGATTTTATATATCTCTAGTGAATGTATCATTCCCTAATCCATCATGGGCGTTTGTTAAACCTTGGGGTTCAGGTGGAACACTTTGTAGTATGCATATAGTATCGAATAAAGCATGATGAAATTAATATATTTTGATAGTTAAACTTTATGTGCGCAGTGTTTTTATGCATTTATTTACTACTGTGACTGCTCTGCATCAGTGTCCTTTCAAAAAAAATCTTAGTATTAGAGTGTTTTGATCTGATTGCTTTTTTAAATAATTATAACAATCATTTAAGTCATTAAAATAATAAAAATATTCATTAAATTTTGATAAACAGAAATATTCATTAAATGATTACAGCAAGCGGCATCAGCCTCTCATCCTTTTCTTTTTCCTGTCAAGAAGAAGCAACCCTGTTTTCTTCTTCTTCCTATCGATTGCAAGCAGCAAAGCAGCCTCATCACATCTTTTTCTTCCCTCTTCCCCTGTCAAACATCAAATTGAAACACCCCTTTTACCCCCCTCCCCCTGTCAAGAACCAAAACCAAACACCCACTTGAGCCTACTGAATTATGTCATACCAAACAAGAACAAAAAATAAATAAAAAAGAGAAAAAGAAAGAACGAAGGAGATGTAGAAGCAGCCCCATACAATTACCTATCGGAAAAACAACGATCAGACCAGCTCTTTGATTCCTTCGGTTTGCTTTGCTTCCTGATCAGGCAAAGTAGACGACCCAAATCGAAGGGGAAGGCTCGCTGGAGAATGACACCCTCCTCTTCCTTTGAACCAATCAACCAACGGTTCCTTTCCCCCTTCGCACATCACCATCGGGGCAGGAAGAGGGATTCACGGCTTCTTCCCACCTTCATTTCTTCGGCCTCGTCGAACCCAAAGACGATCTCTTCGCGAATCGATCGACCGAATGCGATCCTTCGCACTCCCTTATGCTGCCTCCTGCCTTGCCTACGATCTTGTAGTTTTCGCCGTCATAACGCGGTGAACACCCCCCCCCCCTTAGCCGTTGCTTCTCGTCGCCCGGAACTCGTTGCCTTGGAAACGAGTTGTAACGTCAAGAAATATACGTTGCTCATTTTTTTTACCGTTTAATAACGGTCCATTTCAAAAAAAAAAAAAAAAAAAAAAAAAAAAAAAAAAAAAAAAAACCTTACCTTTTTACCATTTATATGTATACATACACTTTATTTTAATTTTTATATACCTGTCTCTCATTCTCTCTATATCTTTATACACACTTTCTCTCATTCTCTCTATATCTATATCTTTAATTCAAAAAATGGAGCAAAACCCAAACACCCCCCTCCATCATCAAACCCAAACACAACCTCACCTCTCGGATTTGCGGGGTACGAAAATTATTTTAACCTTTTGTCGTCTCAAGGTTCACCACAAATACCATACCAAGGTGCCGCTTTCAATCCCGCTTCACCGCCACTGCAATTTCCCAACTCACCTTACGTTCAACAAAATCAATTTGGTCAACACCCAAATTTACAACAAAATCTTTTCTCTACTTTTGGTTCGATGCAATAAACAACAAATCAACCGTCGCCTACAACACAACCAACAGTTCAAGTGGAAGCGGGAAGTAGTAGGAAAGGGAAAGGGAAAGGAAAATCAAAAGGGAAATCAATAGCGGTGGAATCTGAAAATCCAGACGTTCCACAATGGTGGACACCGGAGGAGGAATACGCTTTGACGAAGGCTTGGTGTGCTACTTCAAAGGACGAACTTCGTGGAAATGGAATGAAAAAATGAGCTTATTGGGGGGCGGTGCTCGACAAGTTTCACGCTATTTTAAAGAAAAATCTGTATCGCAACAACGACATGTTGAGCAGCAAATGGGGTATGATAAGTAAGCGGTGCAGCAAATTCAACGGTATTTACAACCGGATTGCTGCGCAACAACAAAGTGGAACCAACGAATTTGATTTGTTCAAAGCTGCGAAGGAACAATATCGGGTCGAAATGGGTCATGTTTTCGACTTTGAAAAATCATGGGAATTGTTGCGAGCGGATCCAAAGTGGAATAAAACGCCTACATCGTCGGATGTTCAATCCAAAAGGTCTCGCAATTCTAGTTCGGTCGACGTGTCGGACGCACGGACTAACATCGACCTAAACGCCGATGATGATGAGATCTCGGATGATATCCAAGAGATATCCCCACCACAACGACCGCCCGGACGCGACAAAGCGAGACGCGCTGCAACACATGCGGAGGAGGTGGAGACGAGAGCAAAAGATGCGGCGGAAATGAGAGCGAAATTCGACGAACATAATTTGTTAATAAAAGAAAAAAATGAGTTGAAACGTCGTCATTTGGAATTTCTGGAAAGTCAGGCACGGGAGAAGCGGGAGCAAAAAGAAAGGGAACTAATGACACAATAGTTGTCAATTTTTCGGACAAGCGAGGATGGTTTAGCACCTACTGATCTAGCGGTGCTACAAGCAATGAAGGAACAAATTAGGAAAAAAATATTTGGGTTGATTGTGCGGTATTTAGTAGTGATTTCAATGTTATTTTAGTTATTAATTTAGGTTTAAAATTATGTTTTTTTAATTGTAATCGGATTTTAGATTTTAAATATTATGTCCTTTTTTTTTGTTTTTAAAATTATATGTTTTATAAAAAAAAATATATTAGTTATTAAAAAAAGCAAAAAGAAAAAAAAACGAAAACAAAAAAAAAGTTAAAAAAAACGAAATAGTAAAAAAAAATATACAAAAATAAAAATATTTATTTTCAAAATGTTGGTGTTACATCTTGTTGTATCTTGTTGCCCATTTCCTCACTTGGTGTTATAACACCACTTGCTTATGTGGCATGTGAGGTGGTGTTGAATCTTGTTGCCCACACCCAATGCTCTTAGAGTGTTTTGATCTGATTGCTTTTTTAAACAATTATAACAATCATTTAAGTCATTAAAATAATAAAAATATTCATTAAATTTTGATAAACAGAAATATTCATTAAATGATTACAGCAAGCGGCATCAGCCTCTCATCCTTTTCTTTTTCCTGTCAAGAAGAAGCAGCCCTGTTTTCTTCTTCTTCCTATCGATTGCAAGCAGCAAAGCAGCCTCATCACATCTTTTTCTTCCCTCTTCCCCTGTCAAACATCAAATTGAAACACCCCTTTTACCCCCTCCCCCCTGTCAAGAACCAAAACCAAACACCCACTTGAGCCTACTGAATTCTGTCATACCAAACAAGAACAAAAAATAAATAAAAAAGAGAAAAAGAAAGAACGAAGGAGATGTAGAAGCAGCCCCATACAATTACCTGTCGGAAAAACAACAATCAGACCAGCTCTTTGATTCCTTCGGTTTGCTTTGCTTCCTGATCAGGCAAAGTAGACGACCCAAATCGAAGGGGAAGGCTCGCTGGAGAACGACACCCTCCTCTTCCTTTGAACCAATCAACCAACGGTTCCTTTCCCCCTTCGCACATCACCATCGGGGCAGGAAGAGGGATTCACGGCTTCTTCCCACCTTCATTTCTTCGGCCTCGTCGAACCCAAAGACGATCTCTTCGCGAATCGATCGACCGAATGCGATCCTTCGCATTCCCTTATGCTGCCTCCTTCCTTGCCTACGATCTTGTAGTTTTCGCCATCGGACCGCCTCGCTGCCAACGACGTGCAGAAACACGTGAGGGAGTCGTCGGAGATTGGAGTTCTCCTCTCCTCCTCACGAGGGACCGAACGTCACCACCAAATCGTTGCGTTCGTGCTTCCTTTATTTTTCCTCTCTGTGTTCGTCGCCTTCATTCATTCTTCCCTATACCCGATCAAAACAAAAGAGGCGGGGCAATTTAAGCCCTTATTTCTTTAAAGTTTGAATCGTAAAACAAAAATGGTCCCTCTATGTGAATTCTTTTCATAAAAACCTTAATCCCTTTTAAATTTCTTTTAAAAAAATGACAAAATGAACCCTGATTTCACAAAGCATTAAGAAATCAGTCCAAAATCCTAAAGTGTTTCAAAGTTCTAGAACGCTTATTTTGCGGTTATTCACTAAAAGGCTTCACCAAAATGAACCAGGATCGAGATCACGCATCGAATGTGAGTTCTACGACCCTTCTTTTACTGTTTTAGTATTTGGGGGAGAATACATGCGGGTCTATTAAAGCTTTGATGATTGTCATGTTTTATACACCTAATAGCATCATACTTTATTATTGTTCAAAACTTGTTAAATAGCAATGAGAAATGTTATAAATCATATAAATTATAGTAGAATGCTATAAATGATATAATTACACATTTTTGTGATGTATTAATTAATAATATTAAAAATCACAAGATTATATGTAAATTGCTATAATAACACAAGTCGGTATTGTAAATCGCAAAAATGACGAATTCATATGTATAAGTTAAAGTATTTCATGGAAGTATGAAAAGATATAAAAATGATCCAAAATATTAGTCGCGTATAGAATGAAAGTACATTGTCATAAATTGTGGAAACACTAAGTTTGTGAAATTGTGTAACTATTAGTTAAAATTATCAAATTTAACTTTTAGTACATAAGGTTATGTAACAATGAATGGAAAATGTATTAATATATTTTTATATTAATTATAAAAATATAACTCAAGTTACTAAGTTGTGAATTTTTATTGTAATAAATAACATGATCGACTTCACAACTAAAGAGTCGTTATTTGAGAAATATTGTTTAGTATTAATCATGTGAATTGTAAATATCATGGAAATTGTTGGTTTTACGTTAGTTGAAACCTGAAGAATATCATAAAAGCATTCGTTATGCTGCCCAAATTTCGTCATAACAGATAATAGAAATTTGGAAATCCATTAAGTCTTACATATCTCAATACCAAAAATTATTCTTAAACAATGAAATGGTGATATTTGTAACATTTAATGTTCATTTAATGAGATTTTATGATATTTTAGGATACTAATGTGACACATGTCATCATTTAAATGGGTAGGAAGATTGGTAGGATCAAAAGGTAGGAGGATATTTAATTTCTCAAATAATAAATATTTAACAATATTATAACACGAGGTTTAGGACTAGGATGCCTAGACACATTGTTAGGATTCAACATTCCAGTATCTCCCTATTGGTGTCACGTT